CGGCAGCGTCGCCGCCCCGGGACGCTGCCCAAAAACAGTGCGAATACAGCACATGGAATATCTTCAACAGCTTAGGCTCTCGCGTCAACAGGTTGATCACACTCCAGTGGTCTTGTGCGTCCGCAAGCCGCGCCAGCTTGCTGATGATGTCGCACAACACGGCATCGTCCATCTTGGCACCACGTCGCAGCAAGATCGACGCCATCACGGGGTTGCCGTGACATGTCGAAAGTGCCCAATCGAGACTCGTCGCACCATGCGAGTCGCGCCTGTCAATGTCTACATAGCCCGAAGAAAGCAGCATCTCGGCTTCCCAACGGCGCCGCTCTCGAGTCAGCTTCAGCAAGAGGGGCCCTGTCCAGTTGCAGCGTGCCGATATGCAAACCGCCTGGTTTGGGTCAGCGCCTGACGTGAGGAGGAGTTCGATGAGTCGTTGCTTCGCCGATGCCGTCCTGCCATCCGTTTCTTTGACCCGGGCCAGGAGCGCTAGCTCGAGCGGCTTTTGATCGAATATACGGAGCGCTGGGTCGGCCCCCTCGACCAATCCGTCCAGCTCGCCCGTGGCGTCCGCTCCGGCCTTCAACAGTGCCAGGGCGGCGGAGAACATGCCGTCCTCGCACGCCATGCTGAGGGCCGTCATGCGCCATGTGTCGATCGTCGTGGGCTGGTTCACGTCGACGCCGAACTGCGCCAGCTGGCCTATGACCGTTTCTGGCGATGGAGACAACAGGGAGTGAATCAGTGGCGTGTCCCCGTTGTTGTCGGCCTCGTTCACTTCCATCCCTTTCTCGTCGACAAGGTACGTGATTACTTCGGTGAGCCCGGCGGCGGCGGCTTGGTGGAGGGCGTTAATTCCAAACTCAGAAGACTCAAGCCGTGCGCCGCGCCGAAGGAGAATCATGGACGTTTGGGCGTCTCCGCTGAGAAGAGATAGAAAGACAGGAGTACGTAGCCGGCAGTCCGGAACACCATCGATATCGGCACCGTGATCAAGGAGAAACGACACAATGTCAGCATAGCCTTTGGAAGCGGCCAGATACAGGGCCGTAACGAGGAAAGGGCTATATCGATGGCTCTCGGTCATATACATGGTGGCCGGTCTGTTGTAGTCAGCGCCGGCTTGGAAGGTATGCCGGAGCGTGGCGAGGGCCACCCGTGTATCTCTACAGTTGGCAATGGTGTTGAAAACGGCAGAGTACTTTCCCGTTTTTACATCATTTCGGTAAAGCTTGGGGTTGAAGAACGAATGCCAAGTGCGCGAGCATTGTGCGAATACGGACTGGTCATGGAGCTCGCTGTGATTGAAGACGTGCCACGCCACGTCTAGGGATATCGACTCTGCATGAATAGACTTCATAGCGAGTGGCGTCTGCCGTACTGAGCGACACGATGTGATCTGCGACGAAAGCACGGCATAGCAAGAACACGAGGCAGTCACGCTGTTGCTGTAGGCTTGCCGACCTCATATCCAACACAAGATTTCGGACTTCGTCCCATGGGACGGCGCTTTACGCCAGAAGCATCTCATACATACGTTGCAGATCCAGAGTTGACCATCTCGTTCAAGAAAGGTCTTGAGTTCTGCTATTCAGGCGCTACGGTGCTTCTTTTGGTTATGAAAAAGGCATCTCGTTCATCCTCTATGTGGACAGTACCGTTTTTCGCGAGTGGTCTCTGGCTTTTCTGGGCATAAGCTGAAGACAGCTTCAGGATTACAAACTATCTGACAAGATTCTACTGGTTCCGCTTTGGGTGGACGAGGACATCAAGCGCACAAGTGGTGTTCACGTCGGCTTTGAACGCTTAGTCCCCACAATACCGACGGAGCCCAAAGAAGTTTTCACCATACCTCGTATAGTATCAGTGCCCGGAAATTGTTACATACATACTTGGGGACTCACCTGGCTTTCTGCTACCCGCACCTCCAGCAGGCTATTACACAATTGCACGCACCATCACATCGCTTGCGCGGGATTCGCGCCGGGCTCTTTCAAACAACCCGTATCGACGCTTGGGAGCCGGAGGTATGCATTCTCAACAACGTGATCAGGAGTGGTTTTGTTCCGAAATGCCTTGCTCTCGTGAAATCCGTTTCCAACTCTGACCCCCCTACCCAGAGTTCGAAATCCTGGAGTTGGGCTAGGAAGCTGCTGTCTCTTCATTTTTGCAGGTCGCTTTTGGCAAGTAGTAAAATAACGCCCCTATCTCGGCAAGATCTCACTTGATGGCTGGGCTCCCGTCTTCCACATCCGTTGTGGTCCTTATGGGACGTCAGTTCTGGCCAGACTTTCTAGCCACACACCGCCTGCTTGACTGACGATCCGGCCTACGGACTAGATTGAATTTCATATTCACGAATCGTCACTTGAACAGCCTCCGCATCCACTTTCAGTCCTTCTCAGCAGCAGGGGTATCAGTTCTGGTTTCTGACCGACCTGCCTCCCAGCCACGCAACCATGATGTTACTACCTGAGCCAGTGCCCTGTCTACAAGATCCAGATCTGGGTCTTTCGCAAGCTGACTTGTTTGTCGGATTAGAAATAGAGGAAAGACCTATCCGGCAACGCGATTGTGCCCATGCTTGTCAGGACGACGTAGTGCCGAGGCCTAGAGATCTGCTGCGACCTTGCCTGGACTAAGAAGCACCCGCCGATTGCGACTCCTGATAGGGTTTGAAAAGAGCAGGGTACAATAGGAATCCAAACCGGTTTCTTGTCCGTAGACAGGAAATCTTCTGTGCAAAGATGTTTGTAGATCCGATTGCTGACAGGGCACATGACAAGGTCCTGGCGGTACCTTCTTGATTACCTCCATAGCCGGGGACGGAACTTGCTTTTACACTGTGTTCGTGGATTAGACCCATAATGCATTAGCTGACGTCCACAAACGGCGATGGCAAGTGCCGTTTCTACAGTACGCAACATGGGTCTGAACTAAGAATTGATTGATTGATTGATTCCTACTCGGTTTTGGCCGCTCATATCCGCAGCTATGCCCGGAAAGCAAGGTTTGGCCAACAGCCGACGCGTCCACGACAAGTCGCGACGCCCCACTTCGTCCTGCTGTTGAATCAAGGCCAGCTGTCTCCAAATTCCTCGCTACACTGTCTATCCTCTATGTTGATTCTCTCTCTTGAAGAGTCCCTTTCTACTGCATTTTGCCGACCATCGTTTTCCCCGGCTCTGGATTCCCTCTTTCGCATCTTTCTACTTCGGCTCCGTTGGTGCTTACCACCATGTCTGATTCAGCGTACCTACAGTCTCCCCCCAGCGCTCGGCTTCGCTTGTTTCTCTTGTCCGCATCCCCTCAGACTCACATGTGCTGTATCTCAGTCGAACTATACATCTTTTTGCTGCTTCCTGCCGGGTTCCTATGTGGCTCCATGTTTCCATCTTGAGACCACCACCGCCGTCCGCCGCCGAGGGTCGGTCTCGATCCGCGAAACACAATGCTTCAATCGCGTCGATTCGTCCGATCACTGAGTAGGAGAGCTCGTGCACAGATTCCGCAGACATTGTCGTGCGTTGAAGGGACGACACTCCTTCTTCGCAAAGGGGGGAGGGGGCGACAGGCGACCAAGCTGTCTGTAATCTGTAGTATTTTACGGCACCGATTGTAGCATACCTGATGTCTGGTGCTTGCTCTGTGCAGGAGGTGATACCTTTCTGTCGGGCTCGTCGTCGTTGCTGTCGCGAGACGTTGCAAACTTTGTCGGGGGTGATAGGCGACCCGTAGCCTATCGGTGGCTGTAGTGTTGATGTGTTTGGGCGCGGTCGTTGTTCCTTTCGTGATAACCCGTGACCCACTAGCGGAGGTGGCGATGGTGTTGTCCCTTGACACGTCGTGCTTTGTGGCTTGCTCTCGAATTTTTCGTGGTCAGAGCCCGCTCGCGGCCACGAGCAGGCCCTTTGGATGCAGGATCAATGCCGAGGATGATATTGTGCCCAAAGTGACCTCTGCAGACGCGAGCGGGCGTGGTTCGATCAATTTGGTGCTGGTTTCAAAAATTTCGTTCTCGCTTTTGTTGGTGTTTTTCGAACTCGTCTGAACTAAGAACACAGTAAAGAAGCGATTTTGACTTTACTGTGGAGGTCACGGGTGAAGGTACTTGTTGGGTCTCAGTATGTATCCCGTCAGCAAAGGAATCCACATATGCCTGTGCGCAGAATAATTCCTATCCGCAAAGACGGAAAGCAAATTCGACTTCTACGGTACTGTACTCGAAACAGAGGGAAGACTCATCAACGGATTACGAGGAGAGTAGATCTCAAAGTGAAGTTCAGAACTAGTCTTCATTGATTACTGGTAGACTGCGCAATATAGTATTGATCATATGTTGCTTCCTCTTGGCAACATACTTCATCTTTTTGGACTTGACCTACACAGGCTGGGCCTATAGTCGTTCTGACTGTATATATGCGACCACGATCAGATGTGCGAGAATAAATGCTGTGAAAGCTGGTTATAGATGCTTTGGAGTAGCTCTCAATTACGCGTTGCCACTCGTACTACTATTCGCCATCCTGACCCATATGTTTATTTGCAAACCAGTCGCTATAGCCATGACTAGAGGTTTGTGGAGACCTATTATAGCAGGTTTCGGCTTCTCGAATATTGAGAATGTTTGTGAGAGAGGAAGCGACATGTGCACAAAACTGTACAACTGTGCAGAAGAGATCCTGTCTAGGCGATAATTTCATCGTTTTCGCCGTAGGTCTGTTGCTTGAATTGATATCCGCGTCTTTCGTTTCAATACCCTTGTGCCTCACAATTCTCGTCAACTCTTTGGCAGAACCAACCAGCAAGCAAGTCACAGAATGCCAGATCAACCAAATTCATTCAGTTGCTGTACATAGTCGTTTCTGCAGTTTTCTCGGCTCATTTATTCCCAGTGTCCGCCGACCTGGTGCTACACTAGGCTCAAAGATAGAGGCGCCGGTGAAATCTGCGAGATCTCAGGGATACCGACCTACGGCATAGCACACCCTTCGAGCTCGTTTCTGGGTATATATCTAGGATACGAGAATATTTCTTGGAACAAACACTCTAGGCACATATGACTTTGCGGGTTTTATCGTGGATGCGAACGAACCATTGAGACCGTAAAATGGCGCCCGATGCAATGAGCACTTTGTCAAACCATCGAACAGAGGGTTGCGAGAAAAGTTGCGCTAAGAACCTACTACCATCGCATGTTCGTCCTGTCCACCTGGTTGAAATCTGTCAAAAGGATGCAATCGTTCCCTTTTTCAACGGTATCCTCATTAAACCATTCGCCAAACAGAATCGCTCATTTCTTAGATGAGATTTGAAGGGTTTGACAATGTGACATCATCATACTGAACCTCGCACGAGATTAAACTTGAGACTTAATTGTCTCCGTGAACAGTCATGTCGAAAATCAAATGTTCTTCTTACTGCAATATCCGCTTTTCAGGACCTTGAAAGTCACACTGCGTCGATTCCCTCCTTGGTCCGTTGCCAAATCCATGCTTTCTGCTGCTATTGCCTGAGTTCGAGACACCCTTGCATCCAGCTGCCAAACATTCATGTTGTCTTCAGGGCTATTCAGTAGCGCATCTATGCCTGGGTTTGGTTCGTTGCAGCTACGACGCAAAGATATCGTAGATGGCATCGAGTCCTAGGCCCAACTGAAAGGCCGCTTGCGGAAAAAAGCCATGTAAATAGTTCTAAGCAGAAACACGCTAGTAATTGACTCTCCCCTAAAAATTGGTTGCTGATTCATGTTGTCGAAAAAGAGGAACTCCTTATTTCTCTCATAAGCCTCTCGAGTGGACCACGGACGCACGTTTAGTTTAGGTACTCTGTTGCTAGTGACGA